ATGCGTCCTCCATACTACCAGAAGCTAGGAGAGAAAGTATACATGAAGACCCAAAGGTAAGAAATAACATTTACGAACATAGAGCAAAAAAATAACAAGATATGTTTGTCTAATGTGTATAGCTGACTGTCTAAGCATAGATGCAGTCAGGGTCAAACATACGTGAAATTAAGTCAAATCCCAAATGTACTTAATCACATTTGAAAGAGATGAGTAACAGGAACCAAAGGACCAGGTCTACATCATCTTCACCTGAATTACATTTCTTAGGACTTCTTTGTTTCATTAAATAACTAGAAAGATTTTGAGCTTTGCTTCTAAAAGAAGGTCTATGACTACAAACCTTTTTTTATTTAGGGCTTTTAGAAGATAGAGTTAATGCTACATAATTGCTTTATCAGTTTTCTCAACATAAGTCATAACTTCCATGCCATCAAAGATAAAGTTTCAGAAAATCAAGTTTCTCTATAAATAGACATATGAAGCATATGAAGGAATGATGGAACAATTATTACTTTTCCATCCTACTCTTTGTATTATGTGCAGATAATTTCTTTTCCATTTAAATCATTGAGCATTCTGCCCTAATGTGTTGTCTTCCTACAAACAATCATTTCTAAAAGAGATGGAGAACTGGAAACAGTCACCAGAGTGATCCTTCTACTTTATAATACTTTTCTGACTTCTTTAATGAACAATGATGCAATAATTGCTTTTACTGATATTTTTAACTGTTCTGAATAGTACAGACATAAAGCAGAATTAAGGAATCAGAAGTTATAAAAATCTACATATCTTCTTTCCTTTTTCTCTCAGACTTTCTTTGCAGGCATAGGAGATTTCAAAACCACCACTGTCATTTATATCCAGTTCTTTAAAAAATACAATAGAGTCAAAATCTCACCACAGAGAACTCAAAATTAGTTTCTTCAGGTTCATAATCGAGCCACAATTTCATTCTGGGGCAATACTTCTTAAATAAGAGACAGAAGCACTTTTCTTCCACTAAATTTAGTAATTTGAAGTCTGGAAGAGGAGTAAGAGAGAGGACCACGCAGCTCTCTGCAGCATAACCCTGACAGTCCTTGTTCCCCTCCAAGGTGACAAGACTCAGAAAGGTTCAGGGGATGGGATAAAAAAGGTGATCTGATTCTCCTATGACACATGGAAGTCAGAAACCATGTGGCACTTTTCCAAAGAAACAACAAAAGTTGCTGTAAAGGGAAATAGTCAGGTAATTCCACTACCTGAACCCACATTTTGGTCACTAGTTAAACTAGCAGTTTATGAGGAATTAAGCATTAGTAGGTGCACCACAGTGTGGAAGACAAGGCATAGTGATAAGGCCAATTTCTATCTCATATGGGTCAGTCTTAAAAATTTCATTGAATATTTTTTCTTCTTTTTTTTTTTTGATCAAAAAAGAAAGTCAAAGTAGAACTGTGATATTGGTGTGAAAAAATGTAGTAAATATTTTCCATCTCTACTTTTTCCTCGCTGTTCTCAAGTAAAAAGAAAAAAAAAAAACCACCACAGTAGTACTACTATCAGGTCAGGTCACAAGTCCATCTACTCCAGAACCCTATGAGACAGTGTGATCACTGGCCTTTTGCCCACTTTAACACATGGTCTGTTGCACTAAGCAAGAATTGCATGGTCAGACATGTATTACAGTGTGTGTTTAAGTCTTTGTGCTCTGCTTACAATTCAGAAGAACCTGAATTTCCGCATCTGCAAGAATGGAAGAATAGGTTTCATAAAAACTGGAAACAACATCAGCATGAGCAAAAACATGGACTCAGAGGGAAGAAAAGTCTAATGAAATATTTGTGCTTCTCTATGTCTTAAAATCTGATGCACTGCCAAGTTCCCTAACAGCTTCTAAAACCACAGGTTTTCTTTGGGTCTGTGTTTTGAACATTATTTTGCTTAGGACCTCTGAAATGCACTCACTATTCAGAGCTACCATTTCCCTGGGACTTACTCAACCTGCCCCGCCTCTCGGGCCAGGCTGATCTTGGCTCCTCTGAGGGTGTCACACAAGGATGGCAGCAAAGGCCATCTACAGAACCAAATTCAACCGTCCAGATAAAGACATCCTGGAAAAAATCCCATACCTTTAAAGAAAATAACTTGAGCAATTCTTAAGGGTCTTCAAGCTTGATAAATGGTAAGAGCTCTTGAGATAATAGTACAGTCATGTTGTAACACTGTTTAATGGCATTTGCTGTTAACATTATTCATACAGGGATGCTATTGATTTGTAATTCTTGAAAAGACAATCTTTTATAAAGTCTGTATTACTGAAATCCTTGTGCCTTTTAACATTACAAAGATTGCAGATGACTTCATAGCATCTATTAAAGCCTCGAGTGACAGAATGTTTCAGCATCTGGCTAAATTTAGAGAAGAACAAGAGAAAAGGAGACCTATAATTACTGTCCCTGCAAAGAGAAAATGCAGGTGCTGTGCCAATTCCTGCATTAACTATCCCAAATCTATTAAGATATTTCTTCCATCTCAATTAATTTACATTGCAGTATTAATAATGGCATAACTTCTGATCTCAGGGTGCAGTACCATTAGTGCTATAATGCTCTAACATAAGAACTTCAGTGTATCTTGCAAAAATATGAAACGCATATTTTAGAAAATGTAACAAGCAGCTGAAGCTGGGATAATGCATTTATCATGTTTGCAATACTCCCATGTTTCTTCTAATCTGAAGACAGAATATTGCAAGATAGTTACTTTTTTGCCCATACCAGAAAGTAACAGCATTAGAATGGACGTAGTAGCCTCTCTTAACTTTTTTTTTTTATTATCATACCTACTTTTTGTAGTTTTATGTAAGAATTACTATTCTTTTATTTGTGTATTTCTCATATCTTCCTCCAATTTGAAACATTACATAATTTACCAGGTCATAATCTACTCTATTTATTACAGAATAGTTGGAGGACCTCACACTGAAGGAAAAAAAGTCAGTATTTCAGTGACTGTGTCATGATATGGTCTTTGGAAATTTATATATATGTCACAGGAAATTTATATACAGGAGGTATATACATTACAGAACAGCTGAGGACTGATGACTTTTACGATTGAGATTATTTTTGCTGAAATATAACTTTCCAAGGAAATCTTTTACAAACACCAGGAAACCATTAGCTGTTTTGTGCAAAAAAAAATAGGGTTTAGCTATTCAAGACTTCTCAAATGCTTGGGCAGCTGTTATGACCTCGAGTCTTAACAACTTTTGAGAGGAGACACAATCTAATCCTTACTGGAGTTCCTTTGCATTTAACAAGCATTAGTTCCCAAAGTACTGCCCTCCAACAGGTTATGCAAGATCAGGTTCGATTCTTTTTCACTTCCACCACTTACAAAATTTCTCAGGGCTCTCTAACTTCAGCACCCCAGAGGCTTCTGGACCACTCTGGAAGCACACAGAGAACGGAGGAGGGAGGATTGTGGAAAATGCCATTCCTTCTCCCATTTTCTCTGGACAGCCAGTCACCTAATCAATCAACTTCATCTTCTACCTAGTGTACTCAGTCTTCATGTCTAAATACAAAATGCCTATAGATTGCACATATCTTTTCTACGATACTTTGTTCCCTCAGCATGTTTGCCACAACTTCTTGAGACCCATCAAGCAGATCAGTGAGGCAGATCAGTGAGACCTACTACTACTTCTAATACAACTGCATTAAAAAAAAAAAATCAATAAAATAACACAAGTCTACATTTAGAACTAGAAGCTAAAGCACATGCTACAGAAGCTTCATCCATACAAGTATTTGTATGTAGTAGGTGATGTCTGTTGTCAGGAATGACAGTAAAGGCTGAAGAAAAGAAGAGACAAAAGTTTAAGGAAGTTTTATCTTCTGCATATTATTAGTAGCACACGTTCCAAGATCCTGCTCCTTTCTTTAAGGTGATGGTAAAGGATACTGCCACCCAGGGACCAGATATGGTCTGCAACTTCACTTTAATGCTTTACAATCAAGAGAATTTTTGTCCATATTACTATTGCACAGCATTAAGAGGAATACTAATGTGTGATTCATCAAAGGGATTTTACTGGCCCACTCAGCACTCAACCAGGAAAAGATTTCCCACTTGGGCTTCAAGTGTTCTGAAAGTTTTGACAAATCATGTAAAAGGCATGACCTTAATTCCTTATGACTAATCAAAAGCAAACTACATCCAATTTAATTCTGTATAAGAGCCTCTATTCAGGGACTTATTGGGTTTTTTTTCCCCTTTAACACCTTTAGTTAATTCATCTGAACATTTTACAGAATTGCTTTTTAGAGAACACCTATACACTCATTCCTTTCTCATTATTCATCATTAAGCCATTTTGTTACTGTCTCAAGAGTATTCAAACTTCACAATACCACCACCCCAGCAGAGTCTTTTGGAATATTCATGTTGGAATTATCTATGGTACCCCTTAAACCAATCAGAGACGTGTCGGTGTAGTAGCAGTCATAGCAGTAGTGGTGGTAGTGGTATTTAAAGAAGCTTTTAAATGTGGCCTAGAACTACAAGAAGAAGCTTATCCCTGGGATAACTCTGCAAATTGAGTTAGGTCTCCACAGATTAAGAAGCAGAAATCATTAAAACATCATGATCAAAAATAAGAAAGAAATTATTGCACAAATGCCTTATTTACAGACAGGTAAACATGTGTTGGCTTCATTACATATGCAACCTTCACTGAGATACGCTGGTTTTCCTTGAATATAGTATTTTCAAACTGCAGAGTTAGTATCTATATGGATGTCATCTAGTTGTTCTAATTGTTTGGAGCTCTGGAGTATGAAAAAACTTGGTGAAGTCCTCCTGCCCCTTCCTTCAGGCTTTCTGTGGTCTTTTCCATTTGGTTTTGGTTCATCATTTGGTTCATCAGTGCTTCCAAACTCGATAGAAAGGGAATGCAACATATGTCTCACAGCAGTTTGCACTATTAATAGCACACAGCAGCTTACCTGTTTAACAGCATAAAGGAGGCGACCGTAGCAGTACATCATTACCATCACAGGGATGACCAAGCAGAATATGAAGAGACAGATGATATAGGATGTGGACTCGGCTGACTCTGAGGACCAGCGTACTGAACAGCTTGTACCCGCACCTTCTACCCCGTAACTGCTCCAGCCGATCAGAGGTGGCACAGTCCAGATCAGAGAATAAATCCATGAACCACCAACTGCCAGCAATGCCTTCCGGTAGTCAGCACGGCGCTTGTTGCACAGGGTGAGAGTGCTGTAGCGTTCATAGGACAGGACAGCCAGGGAGATCAGGGACACAATGCCTGTAATGAACCAACCAATTGAAATGCTTACTTTCATTATTTCGTGCAGTATCCATTTGAAACCTCAAGAAGCATGATGCTTTTCTTGCTATTACATATTTGAAGCAACAGTGAAAACTATTTCCATTATTCTCTACGCTTAAATCCCCACCATACCTGGTTGCTCTGTCCATCATGTCAAATTTTGTTTAACTCATATTTATCTTGTATTGAAAGATTTTCATACTTGAGAGCTATTCCTCTTCTAGGCAGGTTTTCAGATTTAGCTGTTTTAGTATTACCCAGGGAAACTCCATTTTCTACATGAACTAATAAAATGTTGAAAGATTCCCTTGCTAAGAAATACTCAATTTTACCATCCATGAGCATTTTCAAATATTGCATTGCCTTTCATACATGCAGAATGCTTTATATTCAAGACTGGGAGCCCAAAAATGAAATAAGCTTTTGTACTTCTGACCCATTTGCTAGTTCTGATCACTTGTATATAGTAGGACTATTACGGCTTTACCCCTGGGTAGCAGCCAAACACCACAAACATGTGCTCACCCTCCCCCCTTCTGGGGATGGGGGAGAGAATTAAAGGGGTAAGGGAAAAGAGACTCGTGAGTTAAGAACAATTTAATAATTAAACTACAATAACGTTGTAAACAATAATAATGATAATAATAATAATATATA